CCTCATTCTCACCTGCTGTTGAAGTGGGCAGAAATGTACCAGTTTCAGCTGGTTCCTCAGGGAGCACCTAGGACTCTAGTTCCCCTTCCTGGTGAGTCAGCACAACTATGTACATTGAACGGGTTTTATGCCTTCGTTGCTGTGATTAAGGATTTCGTATCTTCCTTGCTCTGGCAGCGTGGGAGAGGGGTACTGACGGAATTCAGAAATGTTGCCAGCATTATCACTCTTCTTCCAGAACCCCTTCCTTTTTAGTTTTTTGGCTTTTGAGATGGCAAAAATTTCTCTCAGGCTAGTCTTGAGTTTAGTACATAGCTCAGGGCAGCCTTGAGCCTGCCACAGTCCTGCCTCAGCATTCCCAGGGCTTGGAGAGAGGTGGGCACCATCACACAGAACTGTTAAGGCCCTGACCTGTAAGGTGCCTCAGCAGTGTGGCTATCCCCCTGGAATCCAGAATGAAAAGCACTCTTGCCCTGAGTGAAGACTCACTCACCATTCTCGCACTCAGTACCACATTCCCATGAGTTCTGCTGACTGTCTTCAGATGCAGGCTCTCACTGTGTAGCCCTGGCTGGTCTTGAACACACTCTTCAGACCAAGCAATTCCTCGGACTCACCTGTATGCCTCCCGAGTCCTGAGTTAAAGTTTGTGTGCCATCACCCCCTCCTTGAGTGAACTTTTTGGTCAAATCACCCTTAAAGTTTCTTGAGTGAATTTGATGATTAAAAAAAAAAAAATAGGCCCAGTCTGGTGACTTGGTGCAGATAACCTGCCACTGCACGTGGTTTTCTTTCCCCTGAATGTGTTCCGTTTGTAAAATGTTACATTGCATCTTAGGTTTAGAAAGCTAACAGTATCCATTTTAAGTAGCACGGAGGTGAGGTGAGTCATCAGAAGGGCCTCAGCGCAGAGCCAGACTCAGGAAGGAATTCTGACTGGAGCTTTGTAACTGTTTCAAAAACTTTGTAACTGCTTCAAAACGGAGCAAAGCCCTGCCCCTGGCGCCCTTGCCCCTCCCCTCTGGGAACCAGAGGCAGGAGCGACTGGGTCACTTGGGTCCTAGCGGTAGCACCGGTTCCTAGTCCCCGTTCTAGTGCAGGGCTTTGAGGCCAGCTCTGGACACTTTCATAACTGTGTGCTGACTCGGTGACACTACAGAATTGAGCCAGCTCTTCCTAATTCAGACTTGGAACGCTTCATCACCTCCCGGAGTTACCCCAAGCCTTCCCTTTCTGGGCAGTGGCCACAGATCTGTTTGCCATCTATAAATATGCCCTTTTCTGGGCAGTGAGTAGCATTAATGCAGTGTAGTCTTGACTCGTGTTCCAAACGGTCTTCCATTACGTGCACACAGCACATCTCACTGACACATGGTGACTCTCTAGAGCATTGCCACTGTGTGGGTGAACGCTGTGATGATGAACTGTTTTCCTTTCTTACCTGTGCTTCACAAGTAGAATAGCTGGGGTTTGAGTAACTTGATTTTAACTTTTTAAAACCCTGATACACTGCTATGACAAGTTGTTATGCCATATTATATTCCACCAGAAAAAGTTCTCAGTTCTCTAAATTCCCTCCACCCTCTGGCCTTGTTACCTTTGATTATTTAATTCTACAAGGTGTGAAATGTCATTGTGGTTAAAGCCAAAGGAAACATTTGCCATCTAGTGGCCAATTCTGTACATTACATCTGGGAAACTGGTCCTAGTGAGAAGCCTAACTTCAAAACAGGCTTGTTAAAATTTGTATTTACTTTGTGGTTTTCTTTCTGTTAGCATATTAAGGACAACCTGAGCCCTGGTTTAAAATGGGTCCTTCTTTTCAACTATGGACATCTCAGATGCTAGACTGGTAGCTTTCTTAATTTTAAATAAAATTGTTTACTTGGGTGGGGGTTGGAGTCTGCTCTCTCCACCATGTCATACCCACAGACCAAACTCGGGTTGTCAGGCTTAGTGGCAAGTGCCTTTACCTACCGAGCCACCCACCAACCCTGGTCCTGACTCCACCCACCTTCTGCCCTAGGACCTTTTGATTACAGCTGTGGGGTGGCTGTGGCCTTGAGAGGGTGCAGGATGGAGATGGCTCTGTTAACTCAGAGCTACCACTTCACTAGACCATGTAAACTAGTTATAAAATGGCTCAGTGGTAGAATACTGGGGTGCTGGGATCTGTGTCCCAGCACCAAAGAAAGAAATGACCAATAACTGGGTGGCCCAGTGGCCTGCTTCATCTGTCACTGGAGAGGTGCGAACAGAGCAGCGTAGAGGTCTTCTGTATTGCTTACCAAAGGGCCAACCCTTTAACTCGTTCTGCCACGTCAGCTAGTCCATACTTGCTAGAAGGGTAATTCGGTAACATTGGAATTTTAAAGTTTGAGCCAGGCGCGGTGGCACACTTGTAATTCTAGCACCTGGGCAACTGGGTCAGGAGCTGCAGTGGTCTGAATAAGGAGATGCCTTCCATAGCTTTCACATCTGAGCGCTTGGGTCCCAGCTGGTACTGCCATCCGAGAGGCTGTGGACCCTGTAGGATGGGGAACCTGGCTGGAGACCCCTTAGGATGGGAACACTGCTGGAGACCCTGGAGGATGGGGAACCTCGCTGAAGACCCCTTAGGATGGGGAACCTGGCTGGAGGAAGCACCCTACTTCCAGTTCTCCCTCCACTTCCTGTATGACAAAACGGGGTTCCCAAGCTTCCTGTTTCAGCTGCCACTCTTCGCTCTTGGACGCCCCTCAGGAACTACAGGGAAGATGACTCCCATGAAGTGCTCCGCTCGTGGTGTTTTATCTCAGCAACAGAAAGAAACTAACACAGATAGAGAAACCAAGGTTAGCCTCGTACCCAGACAGTTTTCAAGAGCAGCCTAGAATATGTGGTGAGGCCCCATCTCAAGAGAACTTTTAAGTTTGGTATAAACTTTGATCCAGTCCTGAAGGTGACTTGAAAAATACACCAACATGTGCATTCGACTCTTCCAGGAAGACGCATGGTGGAACCTACAAATGCCTCAATCAGCTCTCCTCCCCAGAGGTTCTTCTGGTCCCAGTCACAGACCTGAAGACCAAGCTCCAGCTTCTGTGAAGGTCACAAGTGGAGATAGGAAAGCCATTGATGGCCTCCTGAGTCTGTAGTGTGGGTTCCCTGTGAGGATGGACCACTGACGGTCTCCTGCAGCCAGTAATGTGGGCCTGTGAGGATGGCCAAGGCCCTTGGCTATTGTTTTTACTGTGGTGCCATGTGGTGGTGCTTAGACTGTAATTTGCAGGAATATTTAGCAGCAGAGATGTAGAAACCCATAATTGGTTCTTCTTCGGAGTCCAGTAACAGGGAAGGGGGTTTAAAGCGTTTATCCAGAGCAGACACGTGACCTTTACAGCTAAACTAGAACCGTCTGGGAAGGTGTTTCCAGGCCCACACTCCAGTCTGTCAGAAGGGCAGAGGCCTCCATTATCAGAGCCTTGGTGTCTCTCCTGAGTCTCAGCTTCAGCAGAGCATGGTCTGCCGGGAAACCACAAATGCTCAGAGCCCTGCTTCTAAAACCAAACAACTGGAACATAGACCTCCAAGGAATCTGAGCACTGAAATCGCTCTGGTGAGCCCTAGACAGAGGGCTCTGCAGGTAACGCAAACCCCCACAGCATCTAAATGCTCACCGAGACAGTGCAAACGGCGGTGCAGTGCCAGAACATTGCCTGGGCTGTGCCCCCCACCGTACTCGGACACAACGGCCACAGAAAACGCACAGTATGGTTGCGGCCATGCTTAAAAACCTACACATGCCCTGGACGGCAGCGGGGGACTTGAATGTAAAGTCTTCTTAGCTTCTGCAGTGGCGCCGTGGTTGTACTGCAGCTGTCCAGAGAGGCACACCCTGAAACTCAGATGTGTGCCGCTTCCCTACACTTGCACCCAGAATGGTCGGTATGGGGGATTCTGCACTGTTTGTCCTGTTTCCTGTACGCACAGGGATGGACACATCACTGCACTTTGTTT